AATTGCGAAGTTTTTTTCGTGATAGAAATGCTCAATCAATATATTATGCTGATAGTAATGATGATGGCTCAACATGGTCAGTACCAAAAGTAACATCTCTACCAAATAATGATGCTGGAATTGAAAGTTATACATTAAAGAATGGAGCTGTTCTTATGACATTTAATAATCTGAATGGAACACAACAACCAAGATCACCATTAACAATTGCACTTTCGTACGACAATGGGTTGACTTGGCCATATCAAAGAAATATTCAAATTCATGCTGATGATAATACAACATATATTGGAGAATATTCATATCCATCTTTATTACAAACGTCATGGACTGCAGCAGATGATAATGATATACATTTAGTATATACATATGATAGACAAACAATAAAATATGTTCGATTTAATGAAAAATGGATTAGATAAGGATTCTAACGAACAGACAAATTTGTGAAAATATTATTTAAGACATCTTTAAAATAATAATCTTCAATTTTTTTTGTTAGTGTTTTTAATGAAAATTAGTATAAAGAAATCTGAAGGTTCGGTGTGGATATATATTAGATATAAAAATCATCAATAAAATTTTAATAGAACACAAAAATGTGAATTAAGAATGGAAATAATTCATTTTTTTTAATATTTATTATCAACACAGATTGAAATCAAAAGAAGACGGCAAGTTTTGTTCATCTTGTCATGTTTTCAACAAATTCTCTCAAGAGAATATTTCTACAAAAAGGCAACAAAAGAATTATTCAACTTCTTTAGAATAAACATAAGAGACATTTTCGATTTTTTCTTTTCATTAGTATTTTTTAAAATATGACCTGAAAGTGAAGTGCAGAAAAACAGATATTTTTTTAACAATGAACATCGTGAATAAAGTAGTCTATTATTCTATAAATTGTTAACTAATCAAAAGATTTTGTCGATTTAACTAGATAACTTTTATTCTTCTTCCTGTAGATTGTTTTGTCACCTATGATATCAGTTTGTTTGAGAGATATATATTTTAAAGGAAATAAATTTCACTGCATAAGCATAACTATAAACACTCTCAGAGTGAATAGAATACTGATTCACATTCTCACTCGTTTCTTTTTACTTTCAATAATGTAAATTCTGTTTTTCTTTTCATTTATTTATTCTCAAATAAGTAGTAGTTTTCTCCATAATATGCCTTGTTTCTTTGTCGATGCTGTCATTCGTTTTATAAAATTATGCACATAATAAAAACATAAAATATATCCACTTTCTAAAATACGATAATTGAGTTGATCAAATTATTTGGTAAAAAAGAGTTTAGGTGGGAAAAAATGGATTTGTTTCAACATATTATTCATTTCTGATATTTATTTGAGAACGAACATTCATACGTTATCATTCGACTATATGTGGTTGGTGACAAGGAATGATTGATATTCTTTACATCTGTATTTATATCCACTCAGTTGTACAGATAATGATTTATCTTGTATCAATTATGGCTCTTTTTCAACAACCACTATATAATATAACTTCGAGATATTACTGCAACTTATGTATTATTTGGTGAGTGATAGTTTATTAAAAAATGTGAATGATTAAATAGCTTGATTATATATTTAAAAAAAATGTATGATTCAGTTCACAAAAGAAAATGTCATTCTGTTCATATCGATTAATAAAGCTCAGCACTTCTGAGATAAGTATTACCCATACCACCAGTAACTAATACTTTTCCATTTGCTAAAATGGATGCTGTGTGATCATATCGGGCGGTACTCATGTTTGCTGTGCTTGTCCAAGTGCCTGTCGATGGATTGTACAATTCAGCACTATTAGTAGGATTAGTATTGTACTGTCCACCAGCAACTAAGACTGATCCATTTGCTAATGTAGATGCTGCATGAAGAATTCGTCCGACACTCATGCTTCCTGTAATTGTCCAGGTACCTGTTGATGGATTGTACAGTTCAGCACTATTCAGATAAACACCACTGCTGTTCTGCCCGCCAGCAACTAATACTGATCCATTTGCTAATGTGGATGCTGTGTGATATCGTCGTGCAATACTCATGCTTCCTGTGGTTGTCCAAGTGCCTGTTGATAGATTGTACAATGCAGCACTATTCAGATAAACACCAAGGTTGTATCCACCTGTAACTAATACTAATCCATTTGCTAATGTGAATGCTGTGTGATCTTGTCGTGGAACACTCATATTTGCTGTAGTTGTCCAAGTACCTATTGATGGATTGTACAATTCAGCACTATTCAGATAAACACCGTTGTATCCACCAGCAACTAATACTGATCCATTTGCTAATGTGGTTGTTGTGTGATATTGTCGTGCAGCATTCATGCTTCCTGTGGTTGTCCAAGTGCCTGTTAATGGATTGTACAATTCAACACTATTGAGATAAGTACCGTTGGATCCACCAGCAACTAATACTGATCCATTTGCTAATGTGGTTGCTGTGTGATATTGTCGTGGAACATTCATGCTTCCTGTGGTTGTCCAAATGCCTGTTAATGGATTGTACAATTCAACACTATTGAGAATAGTACCGTTAGATCCGCCGGCAACTAATACTGATCCATTTGCTAATGCCGATGTTGTATGATATGATCGTGCGATGCTCATGCTTCCTGTGATTGTCCATTCTAAACAAGATAGAAAAGTTAGAAAAAAACCTTGTTCTTAAAATGTCTTCGAATCTCTCATATGTATAAGTTGTCTATCTATTGAGGACAGACTAAATTAATGGAAAATATGCTATAAATGATTTCATTGATATTTTTCGAGTTCTACTGATATCGCGAATTGACAAAAATTCTCCGATTATATCATGAGACTGGATGGGTGTGAATGATTAACAAAATGATCAATGAGTTCTGTCGTATGAAAATCTTTTTATCAACAATATTTTCATCAAATACTGTTGGACAGGACAAGAATATTCAATAATTAAATGAATGCAGATCGAATCAAATCATCAAAAATTGGCCCTGTTTCGACTTCTGCTAGGAAATGTTCTTGAATGTTGTCTATTTAGATGGCGATCATTCAGTAGTTAAAATCAAAACTTTTAGATATTGCCACTTCAATTAATCATCCTCTGAGCCGCTACAAATAATTTAATATAGCGCTTACTCGGTATTGCTGTTGTTGTTGATGATGTTGTTGTTGTTGAAGTTGATGACGTTGTTGTTGTTGTAGTTAATGATGTTGTTGATGATGTAGTGGATGTTGAAGTTGTTGATGTTGTCGTCGATGTCGTTGTGGATGTTGTTGTTAATGATGTTGTTGATGATGTTGTTGTTGTTGTAGTTAATGATGTTGTTGATGTTGTCGTCGATGTCGTTGTGGATGTCGTTGTTAATGATGTTGAGGATGACGTTGTTGATGATGTTGAAGATGATGTTGTTGATGTTGATGTCGTGGTTGGTTCTATTTTAGAAAAAGGATTTTAGATTGAGACTAAACAATTGAATAATATTTGTGTGTTAATTTATTCTTTTTCTTTAGGAATATATTGGCGTTAAATATGAACTGATTATAATAATAAAATCGGAAATGTTTAAATGATTTAAATTATAATTCTATGATTTTTACTTTAATTAAATCTTTTTCTATAATAATTTTAAGGTGTGGGTGTGGATGCGAGATATGAACAAGGCTCACACCAACACCCCCAAAAGATGTTCTATTTATACTTACCGGGTGGAAATCGGGTTCCACTAATAACATTCATACTAATAGCATCAACATCAGCCAACATATTTGCATTTTGACTCAACATATCAGCAAATAATTCACAATTAGAAGTTGATCGATGAAAAGTGGCTGCTCTGCATTGGCTTTGAGTTAAACACGCCACTTGACAATTCCTAATATTGGATGTAACAAGGGTAATGAATGGTAAACACGTTGTATTGGCACATTGAAATTTAGAATCAGGTATTAAAGATATTTCCACTGATCGTGTATCTTCTCCGATTACTTGTGTAATAATCATAAATAAAAGCCATGGAGAAATTTTTCTTGAAGCCATCACCTACTAGATATTGTAAGTTGATGAAATGAACTTAACTCATAATAGAAGACAAAGTATTTATTGAGCAATAAATTCTATTTTTTTTCTCTTTTGAGTGGGTAGTGCATAGTGTTTTCCCCGAATTCATTTCATCAATTTAATCAAAAACAATAGTCAGGACTTTTTTTGTTTTCAAAAAAAAACTAATTCATTCGGAAACATGATTTTCTACCGTGTTCAAATGTTGTTTGAGGACAAATATATTTATAAATAGAGCTTTTAAGTTATATGAAAAACGATCGATTCAACAAAATTGAATTTAAAAAGGTAATATAATCGACATATAGTTAGAGATGAAATTTTCCATAAAAATCAAAATAATTCAATTCTGAATACTTCAAATGTATCTCATAAACTATACAATATATCAGTGAATTGTCGCATCATTCATATAGAATAAAGTCAATCTTTGATATCTAAATGAAGAATAATTAGATGAGTTGTTTGATTGAACAAGAAAACTGAACACTTCTTCAAAATCAAACACATTCGACTTAGGTTTCTATAACACGAAGTATGACAATACTTCATTAATCTCTCTTTTTGTTATTCTTCTATTTTTGATTGTTTATAATTTGTAATTCAATAGATAATCGTATTTCCCTTCACCAATCTGAAAATGAGTCAAACAGTTCCGATTCAGATTTATGTAGAATAATGTTAACAATCTATCTATTAGAAAAATTAAAATAAACAGTGCTTTAAGTATTTTAAACAAAGTTAAATAGTTGTTTATCATAACAACACATTCTAATGTATTTTTCTCTCAATGAAGGATATTGATTCAGAAAATGTTGTTATGATGTTTCATATGTGCAGAAAAAAATAGTTGCAAAATCTTTTCGATTTTTCTTCAAAACAAACGATGGAAATAGTGAATTTGTGAATACATCTAGGTTTGTTATAATCGTAATAATACAAACTATGTTGCTTCACCGGAAAAAGTATATCTAAATAAATAATTATGGCAAGAAAATGTTAACTTCTTTTTTGAATAGAATACAATATATCCATGATCCCATTAGAAAAACTATTAATCAGTTAATGACGTCCTCTCTTTCTTCCAATATTTTGTTGAAGGAAAATATTCTTACAAAGCTTGAATATATCACGCACAACAGCAAAATATATGATTTTTTCCAACGAATACACATTTCTTGTTCTGCTTCTCTCTCTTTCTCTGTTGTTTTTTTTCTCAATTCATTTCATCAATTTAATCAAAAATAGTTGTAAGGACCTTTTTTTTTATTTTTAAAAAAGAATTATCCATTTGTAAAAATGATTTTTCTACGTATTTGAATGTTTTTCAGGACAAAAATATTTATAAATAGAGCTTTTGACGTGTATGAAAAATGATCAATTCAACAAAATTGAATTTTCAAAAGACTATATAAACAACATGTAATTGCAGTTGAAATTTCCTATAAAAACCATAACTATTCAATTGAAATTTATTCATATACTCATATCTGAATACTTATAATGCATTTTATAGATTATACAATATATCAGTCAGCTATCACATCATTGATATTGAAATAAAGTCAATCTTTAATATCTAAATGATGAATAATCAGATGAGTTGTTTAATTTGACAACAGAGCGAAAGGATTATATGATTATTCGTATTTGTTAAAAATACTAAATACGGGTCGTGTATAGTATTCTGGCGTTGAAATCTTCTTCTAGTAAATGTTCATATTAGTTTTCTTTTTTTTCTTTCATTTGTATGTTGTTATGATGTATTATATGTGTAGAAAGAGAAAAAATTGTTAGAGAGTATCCTCGATTTTTCATCAAATTAGAAACGATGGAAACAGAAACTAGATGAACACATCTACCTTTGTTGTAATCATAATAATACAAACTGTGTTGCTTCACAAAAAAGTGCATCTGAATATAAGTAATTATGGCAAGTAGAAAACAGCATCTGCATGATTATATTAAAAAAAAACTAAGTTGATGACGTCTTTTCTTTCTTCTAATATTTTGT